TGCTCTCAAGGTCACTGCTAGTGGCTGGGATTTGATGTTTTCTATGGTTCCTCTAGTTTTAGAACTCAGCCTATTCTTAGAACCACAGCACAGTCTTTAATTACCCTCCTGTCTTGACTCAATACCTCTGCTCATACACTTTCTTGAAGCCCTTTCCTTTCTCCTGACTTGGCCATTTCTGTTACAAATGAGACTATGAAAGCATAGGTTTCTTTCACAGACTGCACTGACTTTCCGTCTCCCCTTCCCATCCCCCTTACTTTATTACACCTGTGCAACTCATTTGTTTCATAAGCCTAGATTTTTATATATTTCATTTTCTTTTTCAAATTTGAAAATCACTTAGTCTTATTTTTAGGTGCTCTTCTATTTGAAGAAAGCAGAAAAAAAACAAAAGCAAGGAAAATAGCCCAAAGTTTAGCACAGTGATTCTCACAGCCTGGGGCTATATCAGCCCATATCAACTGAATCAAAACTCCAGGGGTGAGCCTGGAGCTCTATCTTTCCATTCATTCATTCATTCATTCATTCATTCATTCATTCATTCATTCATTCATTTATTTTGGTTTCTGGTTTTTGGAGACAGGGTTTCTCTGTGTGGTTTTGGCAGTCCTGGAACTCACTGTGTAGAATGACTATGTAGGCTGGCCTGGAACTCTTAGAGATCTACCTGCCTCTGCTTCTGAAGTGCTGAGATTAAAGGTGTGTGCCACTACTGCCCAGCCTAGAACTCTTATCTTTTAATAAATCCTCTGGGTGATCTTTATGAACAATAAAATTTAAGCCCAGCTGATCCAGAAGAAAGTATCTGACATGCTTTGAATAAAATAAGTGTTCTGGTTTCCCTTTGTATTGCAGTGATAGGTTTACATTTGCACATTATAGTCCATCAGGGAAGCCAGGGCAGGAACTCAGGCAAGAACTTGAAGTCAAGATCACAGAGGACTTGCTACTTGCTAGCTCCCTCACAAGTTCATGCTTAGATAGCCTTCTTACACAGGACCACCTACCTGCCTAGGTAAGGTTGTACCTACAAGTGGGTTGCGCCCTCCAGCATCAATTACCAATCAAGACAATCCCTCACAGACAGGCTCACAGGCCAATTTGATCCAGGCAATTCTCTAATGGAGACTTTCCTCCCAGATGACACCAGGCTATGTCAAGTTGACACTTAAAGCTAACTAGGACCTGAATCTTATCAATAGGAATAACTAACATTCTATTTGTCAACACAGTAGAATATCTAAAATATTCTGCATAATAAAAAAAAAAGCAACATAACCACAGGGAGGTGGTGGTGCATGTCTTTAATCCCAGAGCTTGGCAAGCAGAGGCAGGTGGATCTCTGTGAGTTTAAGGCCAGCCTGGTCTACTGAGTGAGTTCCAAGACAGCCTCAAAAGCTACAAAGAAATCCTGTCTCGAAAAACCAAAAAAAGAAAGAAAACAAAAAACAAAAATATAGGCACAATATAATTTTTGCAAAAAAAATTAAAATCCCAGGAATATCTAGAAGCTTATACACCAAATTGCTAATAGTTGTAATTAATTTGAGGGGAATTCACTTTAACTTTCCTTTATGAATAGAAAACAGAGTTAATATCAATTGGCATTTTCCATTGCCCTTTAGCAAAACACACAGTTCAAAGTGAACTCAGAGGCTCAGCTATTAAGAGTGCTGGCTGCTCTTGCAGAAGCCCTGAGTTTGGGTCCCAGCACCCACATGGCAACTCACAAACCGTCTGTAACCCCAGACCCTCCATGAGTACAGCATGCATGGAGTTCACAGACATACATGCTGAGAGAGCGCCATTTATGATTGATAGATAGATAGATAGATAGATAGATAGATAGATAGATAGATAGATTGATTGATTGATTGATTGATTTTTGGATCGAGTTAGCAGCAGACTTCACTGTCTAGACAACTCATCTTTGGGATGATTTAGGAGTTTCTAGAGGAAGTGAGGCAGAGATAGTACTCAGTCCCTATGACTCAATCAGTGACTTGATGTAAAGCAACTCTGTCCCAAAATGACAGGTCATGAAACCTGAGCTAGTTTGCCCTTCTTAAATAGGCCAATCCAAAAAGGGTATGGTCTGATACTGCAGTATAACAGGGCAAACAAAAACTTAAAGGCACTTTTGGAAGATAACTGATTTCTGAGAACACTTTTTACAGAAAGTTTGTATTAAAAGTGTCCTTTTTTCTTCTTTCTTCCTTATCTGGCAGTCACTCCACACTTACATTAACTCCTCCTCAAACCAGTTCCATGTACACTCAAGCAAATTCACACAATAGATTAAAAGGGGGCTTGAAGGTAAAAGGGTGAACAGTGTGTGCCCCCACACCTAAGGTCAAGTCAGATTCTTATAACCATCTTTTAGCTTACATTAGGACAGTGGTTCTCAACTTTCCTAAGCTGTGACCCTTTAATACAGTTTCTCATGTTGTGGTGAACCCCAACCATAAAATTATTTTTATTGTTCCCTCATAACTGTAATTTTGCTACTGTTATGAATCATAATGTAAATATCTTATATGCAGGACATCTGATATGTAATCTCTGTGAAAGGATCACTTGACCACCCTGCCCCCCAAAGGGGTTGACCCACAGGTTAAGAACTGCTACATCAGTCATGCTTTAGCTAGATTTTCCTACTCTCTGGCAAGTTTCTAAAAGAAACACTGTCTGTATTCTTAAAGAAGGCCAAAGCCTGCAACAGCAATCCTTTTCACTGCTTTGCTAATCACAAACATACAGGTATGGCAGAGACAGAAAATAGAGGTGGTTTCCTGTCACCCACAAAACCAATGAAATGTCTCAATGTGCTTGGGTGTTTTCAGTTACCTGTAGTACTTAATTGGATCAGCTTTATCAATGAAAAAGTTACTTATAGCAGGAGCCCTTCTATTCTAGGTAGTGAAGGGACCAGCTCCCCATTTCGGCAGCCATAACAGCCAAACATGTGCTTGTCTGACTTTGTCTTAGTCTCTAAGAGGTCAGACACCTGCCTCGTGGCAAGGAACCAATCAGAAGTTAGCTGGTGGCGCTATGCTTTACAGCTCTGGGTGTGCTTTACGGACAAGTGCACAGCAATGACACACTGAGCATAACAACCACCCTGGGAGGGACTACGGGCCATAACAACCAGTAGACCAATCAACACAGGGCAAGCCCTCCAAGCCTGGAGTCACACCAATCCTGAGCCTGTGCATACCCAAGACACTTCCCTTACGCTGCCCTGTAAGATCTCTATGCAGACACTTTGAGCTGTCTTTCCTAGCCATCCACCATGGTGGATGGATGGAAGGCCCGAGCTAACATGGGGTTCGCTCATTAAACAACTATAATAAAGCCTCATGCAGTTTGCATCAAGCTTTCGACTCCACCTGGTGATTGGAGTGGCTGCGGTCCTGGGCCGAGATCCTGGAGGCCTGAGCTTCCGGGGGTCTTACAGTAGGAGAGTTGTTAAAGTTACACAACCTGACCAGGCAGTGGTGGCGCACGCCATTAGTCCCAGCACTTGTGAGACAGAGGCAGGCTGGTTTGTGAGTTCAAGGGAAATTTGATCTACAGAGAGAGTGTCAGGACAGGCTCCAAAGCTACACAGAGAAACCCTGTCTCAAACCTCCATCCCCACAAAAAAAAAGTTACACAACCTTTTTTACTATCTAGATACTCACTACCACTAGAACCAAGCCAAAAAGAGGAGATACTACTAATGTCAATATTTTCACTGTCATATGAAAAGGAAATTACTGATGGCTGCCATTACCTTTTAGAGAGCCCACTGCTGCCAATGGCTCTGCTTCATTGTGGTGCTTCAGCTTAAAAATCATGATTACACAGCACAAAGATGAGATCTGAAGCTTGGTTTCCAGTGAATATTGAAAACAAGAGTAAAGGCACTAGAGTCATTTGACTCTCATCTCTACAATATACTAGATTTGGATAACTCTACTAGCTTATGCCTTACTGTCTTTAAAATAAAGTAAAACTGGGATAGGGAACTATTTCACATGGGGTTTGTTATATCAAAAATATGGAAAGGGAGGGAGAATGACGTGCTGTGTTTAATAGGGACAGAGTTTTAGTTTTCAACAATGAAAATATACCATTGGTGGGCAGTGATGATGGCTGCGCAGCATTCTGAACTTAGTGAAACGTATATTTTAAATGATTAAAACTTTGTTATGTATTTTATCACAACTGTGTAAGATCCCAGTGCAAGACCTGGTTCTCAGGTACTCCTATTTGATAAAGAATTTGCTGAAAAAAAAAAAAAAAAGAAAAGGGAGAAACATAAAAATAAAAGCATGTTCCTTTCCCTACTTACCTGTGAGAGGCTCTGAGTTTCCAGCAGAGCCATCTAATTCCAATACAGGCACTGCTACAGTAAGTGTCTCAGTAAGGAGATGGGATTCTATTAGTCACAATCCCTCCTACACATTCAGCTCCCAGCTCACCACCTCCACCCCACCCCACCTCTAGTTTGATAAATCTAAGAATATCAATGCTCCAGCTCCCAAAATCTTGCAAAGAAGCTGGGATGCTCAAATCATTTCCTCGACCAAATCTAGGTAATGAGGACAAAGGCATGCTCAGGGGCAGCTGCCTCCTGTAAGCAGAGATTGACAAGGCATATTAGTACTGGGCACCAACTGGCTGGTATCCAGGGACCAGAATTATGCTGATCTAAGGGACACAGAGGACAGAAGTCTTAAAGGTCTGGTGAGGAAACATTAAAAATGCACTTCTCTGCAGTTCCAAAAAAAAAACAAAAAAAAAAAACAATTAATGATTATGTGTTATAAGCCATAAAACAGAGAAGGGGAAATAGATGACTTTTCTCCAGGCATATGAGAACACTATTTTTGATGGTGAGGCTTAATTGGATCTAAATAGAAAGTGAAGACAGATGATCATTAACACTCCCTGTACTCAGATCAAGGAGAACAAATGGGTACCAACCCAGTTAATTCCAAAACAATACTTACTTTAGGGTCCGAGCTCTTGAACTTTAACCTTTCCACCAACTCTATCATAGCTGCCTTCAGTCCACCCGAATCTTTGCTCTAAGAGAAAAAAACAGTCAAGAGTCACTAGGTAGTATATCATTGTTCTCTCAAACACAAACAGTATTTCAGAGGACAGAAAGGACAGTGAAACAGAAAACAAATTTGTCATCTTATCAGACAAGAGGACTTAAACAACTAAGGAAGGTGTACTGCCCCTTCCCCTTCTTCATCCATGGACAATGAGTGAGCATTAAAGCAATAGACTGGAATGATAATTAAAGGCAATCATGGCTGGGTGTGGTAGCACTTCCCTTTAATCCCAGCTCTGAGGAGGAAGAGACAGAAGGATCTCTGTGAGTTTAAAACCAGTCTAGTCTACATAGTGAGTTCCATGTCAGCCAGACTAAAGAAAGAAGGAAGGAAGGAAAGGTGGAGGGAGGGAAAATTTAATAAACACAATTTTCACAGGATGACTTCACTGCCTCATCTCAGACTCAAATGTGCCTGCATTCAAGACCCTGCAAAAGACAGTTCTATCTTATGGACTACTGATTTTTATTTTGAAGATTTATGTATCAGATACAGAAGTACACAATATTATATATACCTACAAAAATAAAACATCTCAGGCTTAAATTCAAATGGAATTACTATATCCTAGTTAAGAACTCAGTTTTGAGTCAGACACATGGTTTTGAAGTTGTTCAGCACCAACTGGTTGACTAACCTAGGACAGATTATTGAATTTCTCCAAGTCATCTCTCTTGACTACAAAATGGGGATAATATAAAGGGTAATATGAGGCTTAACTGAAATGTTTGCAAAAGTATTATCAGAGTGCACAGTACACAGAATGTGTTCAAAAATGACACCTGCTTGTTATTACTTAAGAGTAATAAAAGTGTAACGTGAGCCCCCACAAAGGTGAGCCTCTATGGTACCTTAAGTTTTAGAGTTGCTATAATAGGAAAGTAAGACCACTTTTAATACATTTTACTTAATTCAGTATGTCTACAATATCAGCAACATATAATTTTAATAAGAGGTTTTACCTATTAGCCTCTGACCTTTGTCTACCTTGGCCTATTTCTTCTCTTGGGAATCCTTTCTTTCCTAATAAATTACCTCTTCTAACACACACACACACACACACACACACACACACACACACACAGGGGGGTGGGGGCGCACGCGGGGGCGGGGGGGGGGGGGGGGGGGGGGGAGAAGAGGAAGAAGGAGAGGAAGAAGGAAGGAGGGAGGAAAGAAGGGAGGGGAAGAAGAGAGACAGAGACAGAGAAATAGAGACCTGTGCTTCCTACCCACTCCCAAGTAGGTCTTTGAAATCTATTCTTATTAACACAGCCCGAATCAACCTGGACTAGGCACATTTCACTATACATGTGGCTAGTGACCACTGTAGAGGTCAGCACAGAATGTAGACTCTGCTGCCTGGTTTCAAATACCAACTCTATCACCAGCTGTGTTGCATTAGGCAAGTCATCTTACTTTCTGCAAATCTATTTCTTTGTCTATAAAATGAAGCTAGCCATAGTAGTACATGTTGCATACAGCTGAGAGAGTACCTGTTCCTGTATACCAGGATAGTTAGAGGAGGACCTAGTGTAAGACCCCCCCGGAAAGCTCAGACTTCCAGAATCTCAGACCAGGACCGCAGCCACCCCAATCACCAGGTGGAGTCGAAAGCTTGATGCAAACAGCACGAGGCTTTATTGTTGTTTAATAAGCTAACCCCATGTTAGCTCGGGTCTTTCATCCATCCACCATGGCGGATGGCTACAAAAGACAACTCGAACCAACTGCATAGAGATCTTGTAGGGCAGCGTAAGGGGAATGTCTAGGGTATGCACAGGCTCAGGATTGGTGTGACTCCAGGCTTGGAGGGCTTGCCCTGTGTTGATTGGTCTACTGGTTGTTATGGCCCATAGTCCCTCCCAGGGTGGTTGTTATGCTCTGTGCATCATTGCTGTGCACTTGTCCGTAAAGCACACCCAGAGCTGTAAAGCATAGCGCCACCAGCTAACTTCTGATTGGTTCCTTGCCACGAGGCAGGCATCTGACTTTCTAGTGACTAGGACAAGGTCAGACAAGCACGTGTTCAGCTGTTATGGCTGCCGACAGGGGCAGGCATCTGCTTAGTAACTAAGACAAGGTCAGACAAGCTATTATGGCTGCCGAAATGGGGAGCTTGACCCTTCACTAGCACTTGATAAAAAGAATGAAACATGCATTTAATTATTATTTTTGTCTGTTTCTTCATGATACTTTGAGTTCCTTAAAGGCTAGAACTATCTTTTGAGACAGGGTTTCTCTGTGGTTTTGGAGGCTGTCCTGGAACTAGCTCTTGTAGACCATGCTGGTCTCGAACTCACAGAGATAGGCCTGCTTTTGCCTCCCGAGTGCTGGAATTAAAGGCGTGCGCTACCAACCTCTGACTTAGAACTATCTTTTAATGTCTGCATCTCCTACACCCTGCCTGAAGAAGGCGGTGCTTTACCAGGGTCAGAATAATGGCTCAACAGGTAAAGGCACTGTAACTCCAATGGTTTTGAGTCCGATGATAGGAATTCAATTCCTGGAACCTACACAAAGGTAGAAGGAGAGAACTGGTTCCACAAATTTGTTCTCTGACCTTCACACATGCACATACATGTATGCCTACAAATACTTGCTCCCCAAAAACATTTAAGACATATAAGGTAACAACATACAAGACTTATAAGGTTAACAACAAAGGTATAAAATGTCCACTGAAAGAATAAGTCAATATAAAAATCTTAAGAAACATACTCTTGTTATAATTCATGCATGGAGCAAGATCTAAAGTCACAAGAACTAATTTATTTCCTTATCTCAGAAATTCTGTAAGACGGGACAGGACCACTTATTTTACCACTAAGGAAACAAGTATAAAGACTACAATTGTTATTTTATGGAAGAAGGGACAAGTAAGAAGTACAAGAATAAACAAATACTGCAAAAGTCACTTACTCAAAATCAGCCTCAAGATAATCACAGACAGTCTCCAAATCTACAAAGCCTTCAATTCTTCCCAAACAGGAAATACTTTGTAAGACTCTGTCTTAGTTGGGATTTGTATTGCTATGAAGAGACACCATGACCATGGCAATTCTTATAAAGGAAAACATTTCATTCAAGTGGCAGCTTACAGTTTCAGAGGTTCAGTTCACTATCATCATGGCACAGAGCATGGTCACTGGTAGTATGGTGGAGTGCAGGCAGACAGGCAGGTGCTCTGCTGATGAACTACGCTCCTAGCCCCAGATGTAACTCAGAAACTCCGTCCCAAGAACATATTTTGTGAGAGACCAAGAAGACCAGGTGAGGACACTGGTCAGATGAATACATCTTGATGAGATGGCAATAAGAAGTGAACTGAGACACTGGGTGGTATCTTGAGCATAGCAAACCTCAAAGCGGACCACCACAATAACACACTTCCTCCAATAAGAAGGCCATACAAATGCCAACAAAGTCACACCTCTGAATAGTGCTACTCCCTATGAGTTTATGGAGGCCAGATACATCAAACTACCACAGATTCCCTCCCATAAATTAAAATAGAATAAATGCTGTCTTCTCCCACTAACCTTCCTCCCTTCCTAAGACTACAAGCAAAGGTGTTATATGACAATGCCCAGCATCTGCTTTAGATGTGCTCTCTGAACACAACTCAGATCACATTTCTATCCTAACTGTGGTTCTAAAGTTTAGCAATTTGTATTTTTTAAGTGATGGCTTATAATTCTCCCAATTTTTCCAGTCCTTTAAGCCTTTAATCTCAGTGGTCTCATACCTGACACTTGGGAACAGGAATCTAGAGGTCACGTACCAGGCAGGGTGAAACTTTAAATACCTAAAAAAGGATTAAGTTGCCAGACACAATCTTGTTTTTTACAAGATGATCAGACAAAAAAACCTGCCTGGTGATATCATTTCTCTAAATTATTCTCCTTGGTTGAGCAAGCAGGTCACTTGTCCCTGGAAAGCTCTCCCCCACCCCCAAGCACACACACACACACACACACACACACACACACACACACACACACACACACACACACCCCTCAGCTGTCAGCACCCATTTTAAACTATTCAGCAAGAGCCCTGATGGATTATGACTTTCCCCCTGGCTGTGGAAAACAGAAAGAATGCACTAAACTATGTCTTAAAAGCCTTCAGAAAACAAAGAATGAAGAAGGAATCCCTAAGCAGCAGACTGACACTTTGTAGGCAGGCAGCTGTGCCTTGCTCATTTAAACAGTTGAGGAAATCCTTTGCTTTTTCCTAAAAAATGTGTTATACCAGCGGAATCCTTCCTCCTGTTTACAAAGCATCAAAAGTATCACCTACCCAGGGAGACACAGGGCAGCACCTGAGAGTCTCCCTTCAGGAAATCATACAGACTACCTGTCTAGCCAACTCAGAGTTATCCTCAAATATTAACTGGACTTTACATTGAGCCTGATAAGTTCAGCCTCAAAATGAGTATGATTAAAAGCTTCCCTAATACCACCACCCACCCACCACCACCACCAAAAAAATGAAAAAAGAAAAATTTCCATCGGGCATATCTGTCTCTGAGAAGTTTTTGAATTGGTGCAAAACTACAAAAGGAAGATTCTGGTACAAGTTCACCCCCACCCACAAGCTCTGCATTCCCCACACCCCAGTCCTTCCCCACACTCTAGGTAGCCCTATGCATAGATGTTCAATTGAGTATGCAAACTCTGCAAACACCTTCTCAAACAGTCTCTATGGCCACACCTTTGACCTAGGAATAAATATATAACATGGTAGAAATCAATGGCCTGGTCCATCTTCATACAGACAGGCTCTACAGGCCCTGGGAGCAGGCTCAAGACATTCTGTCAGAGTTCTTGGAAAGCAGTCTGTAAGGAGACAGGTATGGTGAAAAGAAGGAACCGTGAAGACACAGTGCAGAGGATAGGAGGTTGTTTGTGTCTCAGGGTGGAATTTGAGTATAAGTCCTCCCAGTTTGTAGAGCTGTTATCATG